ATCTGCAAAATGTAACAGGTGAAAATTTTTATTTGGGTTTTTTATTTGCTTTGTGTTCATTCCCCAGTTGTCCTCTAGAGCTTTGTAAAAGGTCCAGAACCTTATCAAACGGCTCAAAAAACCTACATAGTGCAGGAGTATTTTATCCTATAAGGCCTTCTAGTAAAATTTTAGATGAAAATAGTTGCTTAGGTAGCATTTGGCTACTTGTAGCATCACAGTTGATTGTCCTTTGCTTTGTGCCCTGTGTAATCACTGTGGAGCAAACTAGTTGTTAGATACTTCCATCCTGATCATTGCAAGCATTTTGTATGAACTGTGTCCTACTGGGCAGAAAGGAAGAAGCAATGAGGGGGTCACATGCCAAATGTTCAAGATGAGCAACTAGATTCAATAAGTTTAAGGTCCAGAACTTTCCTTCACAAGTGAAGTGAAAGCACAGCAGGGGTAACTCGCAGGTACTCCCAGGATACTGCACTGGGAGTATTTTTGGCTGGCAGTAATCCCTAAGAAACACCAGTGTTTCCATTTCTTTGTTGAAAGTTAAAGTGATAAAATTCCCAGAGCGGATTTTGGAATTCAGAACTGTTTGGCAACTCACAGGAAACAACCCATACGCTGTGTAGGCACCGATGTTTCATCTCTCACTGCTCTCAGCTATCCTGAGCTCAGAGTTATCATTTCAGCTTACTGGAAAGCACTTGATGCAGCCAGTTCCTTCAAAAATATATTTTGTTGGAAGCTGTTAGAAAATTCAATAAAGAGACTTTGATCGTGATCCATTCATTGACTTTCTTGGACTAACTTTTATATGGGATTTAAAGTGGATTTGAAGCTTCTGTTTCAAAAGCAAAGCATATTTTCCAAATTCCTACAGTGCCTCGTGGCATCAGCTTTGCTTTTGAAATAGAGAATGAGGATGCAGAGATATTAAAGCTAAGCTCAGAGAAACATGATTTTTCACCCCCTCTAGAAAAACAGGAACATCCTTACTCTTTCTTTGAATACATAATTAGTGCTAATTGAAGCCACATGTCAGAAATTTATGCAGCAGGACAGGATATAGAATGCAAAATTGTTTTTCCTATCAATGCCAGGGACAAGCAAACGAAGACCTGAAGTTTTTCCTCTCTTTGTGGATCCTCCTGTCAAATGCAAGACCTACAAGTCATAAGTGGTCCTGTAGCCATACACAGTCCTCATAAATAGTTCCCTGATACAACTGTATTGGTTCAAATCATCTTTTCTCCCCTGTCCTGCTACATGGAATTCAGGCAGGCTTCTCAAGGTTACAGAAAGTATTGTTTCCATGTTGATTCCTAGTTCCTGCCACCACAGTGCTCCTACTAACTAGGAGAGCTTAGTCCAAAAAATTCTCCCCACTTTCTCTGATAATGTAATGTAGGTATCCCATAAACTCTAGAGAGATTTAAATTTCCGAGTTAAATATATGCACATACAGGCTTTTTGGACAGTTACCACTCAGCAAAATTTCCATGGAATTGTCCAATTTGTGTTCTTAAAGAAGAAGGATGTCCTGTCTACAAAAACCATAATCCTTTCTTCAAAGTTTTATCATCAACCTGAAGTAACACGAGCTTCTCAGAGAAAAAAAAAAACAAAACCAAAAAAACCAGCTCAGTTTTTAGTTTTTTCTTTTGAGCAAAACATCTTTTTTTCCCTAAGTGCATCCTTATAAAAGACTAAAACATTTCATCTCCCATAATGGCCATAATGAGATCCCAGCAATGACGACTTAGCTCAAACAACAGTTAGCAGAAGAGGCAGTTAAAGCAGCTTTGTTAAGTGTTGCTACCTGAATTGACTGCAATAAACAGCTTCTGCTTAATCCTGCTGATGACTAAATTAAGTGTGGGTTTAAAAATCCCAGACTATGTGATGTGACTTCATGCCAGCACTGCACTCCTTAGTGCTCTTTGTGGCATCCCCAGAGACAACAGGCTCAGGCCAGCACACAGCAAGGGCTGGAGGGTGTTCTCCTTCCCACACACACCAGTACAGGAGTGACTCCCACCAGTGCTAACCCAAGTCACATGTCTGACTCCCCCATTCAGCAAGAGGAGAAAAATAGTTTGCACAAAATTCCCATTCAATCTTTAAAATTTTCCAGCTGTTAAGCAATTCCCTGGACCCAAATCAAAGCCTGCAGATGCTCTGGGGGTAAAATCTCTGCTGAACGAACAACACAGTCTGGATGGAATTGGGTTATTAAGAACATTCATGATGGCTCCATGAATTTGCCTGGATGTGGGTCAGCTGCTCCTGATTCAATCACATGCTACATAGTTATGCCCTTATGTGCTTGCTGTCACTGTTTTTTTCTGATATCTTGTGTTCTTACTGCTTGCTTCAAAATTCTTACATGTCCTTCCCTCCCCCTCAATCTGACAGTAAAAAATAACCCACTGAAGAGGGTTATCCTGTCCAGACTAATGAGACATGGAAATGGAACCCAATGCTATTGCCAGCTTTGGGAATATATATCTACAGAGCAGCCCCACATTTGTTAAACTAACAAAAAACCCAACAACTTACCAGTTCTCTGGCTTTTCCATTTATAGATGTTTGCTGTATATCCAAATGGGTATGTCTTTTACTCTGGAACTGGAATAGTAATGCACTGCATTTGTACACTGAGACTGAATGGAAAAGAGGTCTGGAATGTGATCTGTCCTTACTCATTTGGGGCCCAATTCAGCAAAGTGAAAATCAAATGCCTAATTTTCAAATAAAATCAAATGTTTTTAACTGCACTGCATGTGCTGGGTGAAATTCATCCTAACAGTGAGTCAGCCCATAAAGGCATCACACAGCAGCACTGGTGGGTATTTCATTCACAGAATAACTACAGCTACTAGAAAATCTTCCAGTTCCAGGTAGACATTGGCTCAGGCTTTATGGAAATCATTTAACTTCTCTGCCTCTGTTTGCCCATCTGTAAAATGGGGATATCAGTGCTGAAAGGGTATTAACCCTTTGCAAAGAAACAAGCCTTTGCATTAACCAGGCAACTTTTGTTGCTGGTTTTAACTGGTTTAAACTAGCCATGACTTTACACAGGGCACTAAGGACAAAAAAAAACACTGTAGAAAGAAACTGCAGAGTTAAATGTCATCTCTGATAGAAGGAGACCAAAAACTAGGGAGGGGTTGTGGCCTGAAGGGGCAGGAGGGCCAGCAGAAGTGGTTCCTCCTTGCAGCCTCCAGGCAGCTTTTATGAGCTGTGTCATGGATTAAAGCTGGGCCCAGGCTTTCAGCAGGAAAATCTGGTAAATCACTTGCACCTCAGTGTGCCAACTGAAAGTCTGAAAACTATTTTAAGATCGGGAAATTTGGTGTAAGTCTTGCTTACTATTCCGATTAGTATTTTTACATTTAGGTTTTATAGAATCAATTATCGAAAACTGAATGCAACCTTAAATTCTGGCTGGCCTGGGGAAAGGGGTGTTACAGTCCTTGCAGCAGTGTTTGTGAAGGATATTGAGGTCCTGGAGCAGGTCCAGAGAAGAGCAACGAGGCTGGGGAAGGGACTGGAGCACAAGTGCTGTGAGGAGAGGCTGAGGGAGCTGGGGCTGTTCAGCCTGGAGAAAAGGAGGCTCAGGGGAGACCTCCTCACTCTCTACAACTCCCTGACAGGAGGGGGGAGCCAGGGGGGGATTGGTCTCTTTTCCCAGGCAACTCTCAGCAAGACAAGAGGACATGGTCTTAAGCTGTGCCAGGGGAGGTTTAGGTTGGATATTAGAAAGAATTTCTTTACAGAGAGGGTAATCAGACATTGGAATGTGTCTGAACACGACAAAATCTGGAACTAGTGTTCAATTAATTCTCAATTGCAGGAGATCTTTAACAGGAAGGCTTCCTTGAACATCTGGGTCTTCCTGAGGGTTTTCTATGGAGCCTTTCACTCAAGTCACTCAGAAATCATTGAACACTGAAATTTATGGTAGAAAGATCCAAGAAATTTTGAAAAATTTGCCTGGGAACTGGAAGCTGACTGGCTCTGGCAGCACTGGGCTCCATCTGGGTTAATTTGTCCTGCTGCAAAGCAGTGAAAATTCATTTGCCCTCAGTTTTTTTGTGAGTTTTTTTTGATACATTTTAAACTTAGAACTGAAATGGAAAATTGGTGAAATTTGGTGTAATGAAGTGTGATGAGCTTTATGACGGGTTTTGCTTCATGCAAGTGAACATGTAAATTCTACAATAAAAAAGTGGCTCTTCTACGTCAGACCGACCATTTAAAATGGTTGTTCTGAAATCAAATCACTTTATTTTTCTGTACAAAACTTACTCAGTATAAAGATTTGTGTTCAGAAGCAGATAAAGAAAATCCAATAAACAAGCAAAATAAAACCTTCAATAAAATCACATGCCAAGAAAGACTCGAAGAGAAACTGTTCAGCTGTTCAAAAGTAATCATGTTACGTAGTGGCAGCAGTTTGGTGCAAAGCAGTGCTGAAAATTGAATTAATAGGGGGTTTTAGACAGAGGCTGCAAATGGAACTACAGAAATATTTCTGAGATTCGGAGTTTCATTCTCTGGCAAATTGTTCCTTTTTCAAAGATAAATCTTTTCAAAGGGTAAAAATGGACATAAATGAGTCTTTTTATTTTTTTTTTTTATGATTATGAAGACTTTAGTGCTAGGTCTTCACTCCTTAAAATATTTTAATTCATTTTTGGGGCATAATATAACGTACAAATATTAGATTTGCATTACATGGTTTGGTGAGGGCAAAACAGAATTTCTACTGTATTGGATAGAGAAGGAAACACTTTGCTATAGTGCAAGAACTATACATTAATGACACTAAAAACTTTGAGGGAAGAGAACAAAAATCTCTAATGTTCTGCTTAATAGGTTGAAATAAAAAGTCCTAAAAAGTGTTTGTTTCATGATACATGCATGAAGTTGGAAATATTCTATCAGCAGCTAACACTGTTTTTTTTTTTCAGCATGTGATTTCTTGTATTTTCCAGGAAACATCTGCCCTTGGCTTCAGCCAGAAGCAGAAGACAGCACAGATGATCCTTCTGTAAGGTGAGTCCCATTGTCTTCAACATGTTCTAAGTAATATTCTGGAGGCCTTATAGAACCCCTGTTTATATATAGATATAGATATAGATAGATATAGATATAGAGGATATAGATATACAACCCCTGTACCCCTTTCTAGGTTCCTTCAAAAGCCCAACAAGAAAGCGTGAAATATAAATTCAAATATTTATTCCCATTTATGTATGTTTAACCCCAGCTTTGCCTCGTATGTTTAATCTGATTAATTTAGTGATGACTCTTGTCATTTAAAAAATACACCACTATAATAATTATGCCACGCTGTTGGAAGGTAAGTCAGGAATAAAGCATGGATGAAAAAATGCCCGTGGATTTTGCTGGGGTTGGTGTTTCGTTTTGGGAATGGTCTCCCTTGGAACTGCTCCTGCTGGAGTCAGTACTTGCAGGGGTTATTCTGCTTCCCAGGCAGAACTGGGGGCTCTGCAAATCCCTGCAACTCCAACGGCTGTGCAGTGTTGGTAATGAGAGGAGTTATGTCCTATATATTGCAATGCCCAAGAGTCTTTCGAGTTTTTCAATGAGTTTTATAACTGTTTGTGCTGCCCAGCTTAAAAAAATAATAACAAAACAAAACAAAAAGCTGGTAAAAGAGACAATTAAATGACTGAGGTTGAAACACTCCATAATTTATTGCAGATCTATGAGAGAACACTTGTAGAACCCATTTAATTCATTTAATAGTAATGCAAACATTGATATAAATTAAAACTCCAGAACGCTCTCTCTCACATCTTTTCTCTCCCCATGAGAGGTGAATGAAAATGATTTATTACCCATAGATTATAATTGCTTAAAATAGGTTATGATGTAAGAAAAAAAAAATTCTAATCCCTTCTACGAGGCAGGAGCAAAATTCTACAGACAGAGAAATTACATCTAACGCCAGCGTGTTAAGGAAGAAACATTCTTCTTCTCCCTTTGGGGAAACTCTAAGAACATCTTTTTAGAACTGTCAAAATTCACAAGCTGTAATAAATTATTCTTTTTCATTACCCATTTATTAAGCAGGCTGTTTGGTATAATAGCAGAAAAATTCTGTCTAATTTTTACAGTATTACACGACTGTGATTTCTCATTTGAAGCAGACAAGTTATCAAGAGCAGCGATGTGTTTTATTTTGTACGTTGGGACCATCTTTCCTCTGAATTCTGATGAAGACAACTTTTGAAGCATGTAACACTCTGCCTGTCAGGGGGGTTATGTGTCAGGGAGCTGGGCTGGAACTGCCCAGCTTGGGGCTCAGCCACGGGAAGGACCTGGATTGCAAACTGAGCTGGGTTGTGCTCAATACCCACGACAACACCTCTGCAATCCCACACTGCTCAGTGCTTCTCCCATCCCTTTTCTCTTTAGGGACACTTCACGATGAAAGGAGTTCACCCACTACTTCTAGTAGTGGTATTTATGTATCTGACTTTCTTTCTTTCTTTTTTTTTTTTTTTTTTGCGTTTACCTGCAGAATTAAAGTGGATGTCGGATGCAAAATTTAGTAGGAGGTTAAACAGAAAATCTGAAGAAAAACAGACCACCAAAAAATGATGACAAAATTTAGGAATGTTGTAAATATTGGCTATAAGACGCTGCAGGGATCTCATTAACTGTAATGCTAATGTGAAATTCTGAATGAAACTTTATGCTGGATAAATGGATAAAACCCGGGTTTAAGAGATGAGAAATCTGGAATAAGGTCCTGGCTCCATCACAAAGCTCTGTATGATTCTGAGAGAGTAATTTATTGACTACGGTAATTTAATATATCATAAACATTCATTATAGTTATATGACTATAATTTATGTTGTATTACATACATATTCCAGTAAAGATGTACTCAGGGTAAATGTGCTTCAGCCTCGGTGGTAAAAGGGAAACACCAATGACTTTGCTTTCATAAAATGAAAGTCAGAATACATATTCTTCTTTTTGCTTGAGCTCTAGTGAAAGTGCACGCTGTACCCAAGTTTATTATTTGTAAAGGGATCCAAAGTTATAAACCACATTGTGAGCAGTGATTACCATGGCTTTATTCAGAGCACTATTGGGGGTCTCCCTCACTTGTCATGAGCCACATTGTGTTTGTCCCACCCCAGCTCAAAATCAAATGTCTGAGCTATAATACTAAAAATTGCAACTCCACTTCCACATTCCATTGCTGTGCAGGCTCAGGGGAGGTGTCTGCCCAAATCCTCAGCTGGCAAAATGACACTCTTGCAGGTCCCAGGATACCTCACCGAGCTTCTCCTGAGCTCACCACATGTTTTACACAGGGCTGCACACAGGGTAACACACAACTGCACCGTGTAGCCCAAAAATATGAATATAGAAGCAACAGTGGCTGCAATAACATTTTTTGGAGATATTTGTGAGCCCACCAGTCCCCCTCCACCCCTCAAAAGGGACATGCAATGAAAACAGAGAGAGAAAATAAAAGCTACCTATCTCCTGCCCTGAATGGCAACGACAAGGCAGGAATGTTGCCTTGTTGGCTTTGGTTGAAAATATATAAATAAATGGTGGTTATAAAACCCACATTGTATCTTCACAGCCAGCAGCGACATAAAGCTGCTTTCTTCAGCTAGGAAGTGGATTACATTTTTATAACTAATCCCCAGCTCTTTGACTGAAAAGATTTGCTAAGCCCCCCCTCACTACTTTTTCTTTTAGGTCTGTGCACTCCAAAAGCTTCCTCCCACCTTCTTCCTCCTGCTTCCCAAAAGTAAATGCATGGCTATTTTTTTGAACTTACAGTACGTAACTTTGTTTGTGCCTTGCATTGTTAAGCAGGATTCACAGACGGGGAAAAAAAAACCCCCAACACCCAAACAACTCTTTGCTTCACTGATCCATAAAATCATTATAGGCAACATTTCAGTTTCAACAAGTGCCAAAAATTCTCCCCCCTCCCCGATTACAAAAAATAAAGCAGAAACAAAAATAACAAGGCTATTAATCTTTCATTAAGTTAAAGGGATGAAAAGGAATCGCTTAAAGTATCATTCTTTACTTGCACCACAAGATTGGATGCCCCCTGCTAACTTCAAAGGCTCTAAAAGAAGCTGGTTAATATTGTTGGCACAGAACCAGATTGTGGTTTATTTTAGTTTTTCTGACTTTTTTTTTTTTTTCCAACAAAAGAAAACATTAAGGGTTGGACACTGATTGCTGAGGAACAGCTATTGAAAGAGGGGGCCTTTTGTGCTTGCTACCAGTAATACGTCAATTTTCAGACATGTAAGAGCCACTCCAAAAATCGTGTCAGTCACTGCACGAGGGCAGAAGTCTGTAAGGCTGCTCCTGTTTGTTCTGTGGTTTCAGAGCAGATACAAATCACTGGTTTTCCCTGGATGCCAGAGTGCTTGGACTCGCAACAGCTTCGCTGAAATATGGACTTTAAGCATCCCAAGAGAAGTAACAGATCCCCCATAAAGCCACAAAGTCACTCACCTGCTTCCCTGCTCCATTTCCATCCCTCCCCAGCCCCAAAGTTGGTGTGCACGGAAAACAAAGCTAATTGCTGCTGAGTGACATAATTTTGTGGTTATGTCTCTTTGTGCAGGGGTTTCTTTGCAGTGTAGTGCAAGCTGTTAAGCTGCAGATTGTGGTTGCCGCTGCCTTGGCGGAGGGTAAATAACAAGGAGCAGGGAGAGGCGGGCAGGAAGTGTTTGTGATGGTTTGATGATGTGCTGATAGCTTAATGCGCTTGGCTGGGCTGTGCCGGGCAGGCTCGTGGAAATCCCTGTTGCTTGGTGTGCGTGTGTGGCAGAGGGGGGAAAGCATTCCATGTGTTTTCCTCTCTTTTTCAGATAAAGAAATGGCTCAGTCCCCATCACACAGTCAGCTTTGGAATCTTCCCTTGAGTGGATAGTGAGGAAATACAGGCAAAGTGAAGGCTCCTGGGGGTTTGAGCACCTTAATTGCTTGAGTTTGAGTACCCTAATTCCTTGGGT